AGGTAGTGGGTTCTATCTCTGGTTGGGGTGTGTACAGAAGGCAACTGACCGATGTTTCTCTCTCTCTCCCTTCCTCTTTCTCCAAACTCAATGAAAAAAACACATTCTCGAGTGAGATTTTTTAAAAAATGACATTTACAATGACATTTACATGACCTAGAATAAATTTAACCAGGAATGTAAAAGAACTGTACTCAGAAAATTATAAGACATTACATAAATAAATTGAAGAAGATACAAATAAATGGAAGCATATATTGTGCTCATGTATAGGAAGAAGCGATGTCATTAAAATGTCCATACTACCTAAAGCAATCTACAGAGTCAATGCAATTCTTACCAAGATACCAATGTTGTGTTTCACAGAATGAGAACAAATAATCCAAAAATTTGTATGGAACCACAGAGGACTCCGAATAGCCGCAGCAATCTTGAGAAAGAGGAACAAATTTGGAGGTATTTGTCAAAGACTTTACCTCCAAGACCCGGTATCAGAGACTTTAGTAATCAAAACAGCATGGTACTGGCAAAAAAAAAACAGGTGGATCAATGGAACAGAACAGAGAGCCCAGAAATAAACCACACCTTTATGGTCAATTAATATTTGACAAAGGAGACAAGAACACACAATAGGGTAAAGATTGTCTATTCAGTAAATGATGTTGGGAAATTTGGACAGGTACGTGGCAAAAAATAAAACCAGATCACCTTCCTACACCATACATAAGAATAAACTTAAAATGGATTAAAGACTTAGATATTAGACTCCAAGACATAAAACTCCAAGAAGAAAACAGGCTGTAAAATCTCAGACATTTCTTGTAGCAATATTTTTTCTGATACATCTCCTTGGAGAAAGGAAACAAAGTAAAAAATCAATAAATGTGGCTATATCAAATTGAAAAGTTTTTGTGCAGCAAAGGGAAACATGAACAAAATGGAAAGACAACGTACTGAACAGGGGAAGATATTCCCCAATAATACTTCTGATAAGTGGTTAATAGCCAAAATTTATAAATAACTCATACTACTAAATCTCCAAAAAACAAACAATCCAATTGTAAAGTGGGCAAAGGACCTGAATAGACGTTTCTTCAAAGAGGACATACAGATGGCCAGTAGACATGTGAAGAGCTGTTCAACATCACTAATTATCAGAGAAATGCAAACTAAAACTACAATGAGGTATCACCTCAAACCTGTCAGAATGGCTATCATTTATAAATCAGCAAACAAGTGTTGGTGAGGATGTAAAGAATAGGGAACCCGCATGTACCATTGGTGGGGATGCAGACTGGTGCAGCCACTGTGGAAAATTGTATGAAGTTTCCCCAAAACATTAAAAATGAAACTGCCTTATAACCCAGCAATTCCACTTCTGGGTATATATCCAAAGAAACTCAAAACACAAATTCAAAAGAACATAAGCACCCCTATGTCATTGCAGTATTATTTACAATAGTGAAGGTTTGGAAGCAACCCAAGTTCTCATCAAAGGACTAGTGGATATGAAAGTGGTGGTACATATATAAAATGGAATATTACTTGGTCATTAAAAGAATGCAATCTTAGCATTTGCAACAACATAGATGAACCTAAAGGGTATTATGCTAAGTGAAATAAGTCAGTCAGAGAAAGACAAATATGTGATTCTATTTATCTATGGAATCTAAAGAATGAAATAAACAGACAAATTAGAAAGAGATTCATAGTGAACAGACTGATTCTTGACAGAGGGGAGGGAGGTTGGGGAGCTGGATGAAAAAGGATACAGGATTAAGAAGCACAAACTGGTAGTTACCAAATAGTCATAGAGATGTAAATTAGGGCATAGGGAATATAGTCAATAATATTGTAATAACTTTGTATGTTGTCAGATGGGTATTAGACTTATTTGGGGTTTGCTTTGTAAAGTATATGATTGTCTAATCATTATGCTGTACACCTGAGGCTAATATAAAATAATATGAATGTAAACTTTAAATGAAAAATAATGTTCTTTTAGCACATTTATTGCTCCATTGAATGCAAATTTGAAATCTAGTATCTTTAGTTCTTTTCTTAGAAACCTTGCAGTTTTAGACTTTTGAATTAGGTTTTTTAAATAGGCCATTTTCTAACTCTTTCAAAATCAAGTTTTATAGTTTACCACCTCCCGGAGCACTGTCTTGGTTAGGAATGTGGAGTAGAACTTTTCACTCTAACATCTCTGCTAAAGAAATTATTTTCATTGATAAATGATTCACTAAACCCACACTTCCTTCCTTCAACTCTAAATTTCAAGATAAAATTACAAAGAACCTAATGTGTAGTGAGGAAACCAAGCTGTGTGATTTCTCACGTGTCCAAGGATTCCACCTCAGTTACGGTGTCGTATTTCAATAACTAGAGATGCTCATGCTGTAAGGTAATTTAAGAGTCATCTAATTCAATTCACTGGACATAATCAACACAAACACCAGTAGCAGGAGACTTGTGTTCCGTTCCCAACTTTGCGGTTAACTAGTTTTGCTACTTTAGGCCAGACACTTGTTTCATCTTTTTGAGTTTCAGTGTCCTTATCTATAAAATAAAGGCCTTCATTATAAAATATTAAGTCTCCAATTCTATGCTATACTCTGATTTTAATGAACATGATGGTTTATTATTAAAATCTCTAACAAGCAAAATTACTTCTACTCTATCCAAAAGTTAGTTCCAGTGCTTAATGATTCTATGAGGCAGATTTCTTTTCTTTTTTCTGCTCAACTTTATTGAGGTAAAATTGACAAATATAATTGTAGATATATAAACTGCGCAGTGTGATGGTTTGTTATAAATTGTGAAATGATTACCACAATCAAGTTAACACATCCACGAATGAAGCAGGTTTTTAAATAAAGAAGATATGACCGTCTCCATTTCTGTCTTCTCTAGAGTTGAAAGATAAACTATCAGCATTCTTCTTCTACTAACACTTTACAAATTTAACTAGTAAGTCATTGTTTATCAATCTTTTTCCATGGCAAACTTCTTCCAAGCTCTGTCATTCATATACTTCCTTCATGGTTTCAGCCACATATTTCTGCTATCTTGGTTACTATTTATCACCCTTTCTATGTTCTTTTTTACTAAATTCATTTGGAAGAGAATTTTCTATAAATCACTCCTTGATGAGGACTATAAAATCAGTCTTTCTTGGCAAAAATAGAAGTTAACTGTGAAAATAACAGATTTACTGAACTTGTAAAACAGGCAAGTGAAGACATTTCTCTATGACAAAGGCAATACGTTTCATTCACTATGAAACATTCTTGCTGTTCCCCATGACTTCAGTGGCCACCCTTTTATGCACTAGCAATATTAGCAGCCTCATTAGCATTTCTGTTCAATCATCATGCACTTTACAAGTTGAAGGATATTCTTATAAATATTGGGGTAAATAGTAGAATTCCACCTAAAGTCATCCACTTTATCATTGGAGAAATATGTCTCTAGGGCAAAATCAAGAGTTTCTTTTACCTTTATTTAGAATAGTTTTCAAACCATAGCAAGCCTAAGAATCACCTAGGCTCTGGCCAAAACGCACATTTTTGGGCCTTGCCCAAGTCTGGACTAGAGCCCAGGAGTCTGCATTGTGAAACTGCTTCCCGGATGACTGCAATGCAGGCAGTTTTCAGGCCCTACCTTCGAGAAACAGGAGACAAGCCATTCTTTCATCTATTACTGTATTTACTCATTTTTAAATCACTATTGAGCATCTTCAAGTTACTCTGTTAGCCCCTGACAGGAGGGAAAGGGGCAGAGAGGTGTGCCAAGACTCAAGGTTCAATTTTCATGTCTCAAAGCAGTATATGATTGTCAAATGAGGTGCACTGGGAAGACCTCTCTAGGCTGGGAAGGTGGCTGTGGGTTGCAGTTGTCGGAAGGCTTTGTGGATCCAGGCTGGAAGGGCCTGGTGATTTTTTTCAGAGGAAGGAGGGAAAAATCAGAGAGGTTCTGGAAGTCAGCTTAGCCTGGAGCTGAAGTTCTCGGTGAAAGGCTGAAAGGGTCCAGTATAGTGTAGGCACTTAATCCTGCGGAGGTCAGCTGTTACTCAAGAACTGAGGACAGCTCTGTTTTAGGGCAGGTAATAACCTGGTGTTGATGTTAAGGAGGGATTGGAGCTGGCAGTGCCAAAGGCAACCACTAAATTTATGCTGCTGTGGGCAGGAATGAAAAAGAAAGCTGAGATATATTTGTAGTGATGGGGATGAGGAGAGGCCCAAGAAGGCAGGTGCCCCCAGAAGAATAAGAGCGCCTTTTAAAAAGCTAACCACAGACGGATTCCTAAACATTTCAGCTTCAATGAAGCCAGTGGTGGGAAACCTATAAACAGAGAGAGACCGGTATGTGTTAAGCTGATAAATCCTTTCCAGTGTTTCCAGTATCTCTCTTAAAACAGAAGCATCTTCTTCACTCTCTCTCTGCTGCTACTTATTACCTAAATACTACTGATAAAACATTACCACGCTGAAACTGGGTTTGCAGGCCTCAAATGCCGCCCATTTCTGCCCCTGCGATGAACCTGAACCTTCTCAGGAGACCCAGCTCTAATACCTTTAGCCAGGTGGGTTCCAAACTTTAGTGCACAGTAGAATCACCTGGAGATTTTTAAAAAGAAAGAAAGGCGGGGAGGAAGGAAAGAAAAATGCCTAGCGGCCACATCTACCGTGCAGTGCAATATAGTTTGAAAACTATTGGTCTAGCCACATCTCCTCCAGAGCCCTTAAAAAACCCCAAATCTTCCCGCCCTTTCTGTCCCTCGCGCGAAGGGTACACGTCGAGGGTACGGGGCCTCGGTGGGCCTGTTCCCAGCACGTCGGTCCCTCTCGCGCCTCCGGTGCCCGGCGCCGGCCGGGAGGAGGCGGTGCTCAGGGTGTCTCAGGCCGGGACGCGGCAGAACCGAAAGCGGCCGGCGCGGGGAGGCGGGGAGAGGAAGGAGGGGCGGGGGGAGGGGGCGAGGGGCGAGGTGGCGAACACAGGGCCGGGCATGCCAGCGGCGCGGGGCCCCGGAGCCGCCCGGTGGCCGCGTCCAGGGGATGGCTCTCCGTCTGGTCACCGACTTCGATCTCCGGAAGGACGCACTCCCGTGGCTGCGGGCGCAGCAGGCGGCGTCGCCGGGCACTCGGGCTCGGGGCGGCTGCGCAGGTGCTGGCGGCGCGCATCCGGGGTAGCGGACCGCCGGCGGGGGCCGGCGGGCGAGGCGGGGAGGCTGAGCCAGTCAGCCGAGGGGCTCCCAGACTGGGCTGAGGTGGCGGGCACAGACCGGACGCCGGTAGTAGTGGGAGGGGGAGGGTTCCGGGGGCGACCGGCAGCCCGTGGCCCCCGCCAACCTGTGAAGGTTAGAGCCGAAGGCATGCGCTTCCCTCTTCGGTGTCCGGGCAGTGCCACCCTCACCCCCGGCTACTGAGTGGAAGTACGTGGGGCAGCGGCTGGGCAACATTTCTTTTTCCAGCGAGTCCTCCAGCCTCTGGCTTGCTTGTTGGCCCCAGTAGTCCACCCTTAGTAGAAAGGCCGGGGCGCTCGGTACCCTCAGCATCATCTCATCGGGGAGGACTGGAGGAGCTGCTGCTGAGACTCGCCTCCCCCAGCCCGCGACTGCGGCGCGTGGGAGAGGCTGGTTCCTCGCGCGTCATTCGCTTCTCACCTGCCAAGGGAAGAAGGTTCATCGCCCTCGTAGGGGCTCTGACAAGACTAGGGGCTCCTGGAAGTTCTCGGGTTATGAGGAAGAAAAGAATTGTGGCCACCAAAAATATTATATAAATACTTAACAGCTGCAGCTTGTTCGCGCCTATGCGAGACGTCTTTCTGCATCTGTGTGAACAGTGTCCGTGGCTGCGGGGCGTGCGGCTTCGGTGTGAGGTGCGCGAGGGCTGTGAGCCGCGCACGGCCGGCCCGCCCGCTGTTTCCGAAGAAGCGCCACGCCCGCCACCCGCAGCCCACCAACGGCGCGGGCCGGCGAGGGTGGCCTGGGACAGACCGACGGTGTGTGCTCAGGTTTCCTGCCCAGCTTCCTCAGGGGGGATTGGTAGACATATACATTCCTGGCGGTTGAGGAGTTGTTCACGAAACAAATCATTTGTTTGACTTTTGATGAGGGACTTTTGAACCTTCCCAGCGTGGATCAATCAAAACTTTAAAGAAGGGGAACTCCGTGATTTTTTTTTTTTTAAGACGTGTGCTGTAAACAATGGTCATCTTCGGGGCTTAAGTCCAGCTTCAAAGCAGTGGTACCCCTAGATCCCACCTTGTGCACAGTAATTCTCCACCCCAGCGTGCTTGCCTTTCTCCGCCCCTCCGCCCCCCCCCCCCCCGCCCCGCTCTTCCTTAAACACTGCAGGCCCCTGGAGGACATTGTTTTCTTTTTGAAAGGGCTCTCAAATTTACAACTCCTTTCCCCCTTAATTCTGGTGAAAGTTTTCTATCCCAACCTTGTATCTTTACACTATCCTGTGTTAGTTGTTAGTTCCAAATAAGGAGTCCTATGTTTGTAGCTCAAGGCTTGTGTTTGACTAGAGAGTTTGATGAATGATTAGTGTTATTAGCAAAACTTCTCATTTTGGGGGAAATTTAAAAAGTCTCCTGAATATCCGAAGAGTTTTTGAAGGTGTAACTTTTAAAAATACATTTGGCAGCTCCACCCCAAAGTGGTCTTTTCTCTAAATATCCACCTTATATGGCTAAATGGCAGTTGTCTGCAAATGAGAAGTTAGATGAAGTGTGAAATGCCACAGTCTTGTTTCAGTAATGTGTATTGTGATTGAAAATCTGTGTGGGAGCCAATTAGATTTGGCTTCCTTGTGTCTTTCACTTATCTGTAAAGAAATATAAACTTGTGTATTGACATTCCACTAAACAGCAGGTGCTCTTGGGTCCTCAGAAAGTAAGCAGACTAGAAATACCAGATTTTTAATCTATATATTAAAAATAAAAAATAAAATAAAAATAAAAATTTAAAGAAGGGAAACTATGATTTCCCAGGTGTTAAAAAAGATTTTTTTAAAGAAGTGTGCTGTAAACAATATATATGTAGTATTTTACTCTTGGAGAGCATCTTAGTAAAGATATTAATGTTATGCTAAAAGAAATTGTTACTACTGATAATCACCAGTGGGTGGTAGCTCAAAAAAAAAAACAGAACAAAACAAAAAAAACCCTCTTCACCTCAAGTTAACTCCTCTTCTGCTATTCTTTGTGGCACTGACAGGGGAATCTGGGAATCTATTTTATTACTAGGACAGCTATTACTCAACACTGTGCAAATTATTTTCCTTTCAAAGCCTCAGCTTTTCAAATGTAAATTGTAAAGTCTCCTGTCTGCACACTTGTTATCTAAATTTGAAGCCTTATTATTTTTGTATCAACAAATACAATGGAAGATTTCATAGTGGTGCTAAGCAGTACTCATGAAGTATGACATATTCCTGGCAAAATAGCCAGGGCTAACCATGGAAATTGAGTCTTTTAATCAAGCAGGAGTCAAGGAATATATAATTTCATTTTGCTTGCTTGTGAAGTTCAAATGAATGAAAGCATACTATATGTATTCTTTTTGCTTTCCCCCCTTCAATATTGTGAGATTTATCCATGTTGACTGTTGTAGCTTTAGGTCATTAATTTTCACTGCTATGTAGTATTCCACTGTGTGAATATATAGCAATATGGTGGACAGGGAGTATATGGCTTTGATCCTCCTTTCAAGAAAGGACTTGTCCCAGGTGCTGTGAGTGTGGGCATTAGGGAGTCTTCAGCTGTTGGGCCTTTCAGGGATTGTTTTAACAGAGGGTTATCTGGCCTTTTAGGTGCGGCTCACGTCTAATTAGAGTGTGAGATAGGGTATAAAAGTCAGCCACTTTCACTCAACATTGGACAACTTTGACAATCCATTTCAGTTCCAGAGCTTCTCCGACGGAGGACCCTGAGGTCACCTAAAGCTACTGGGCTTGCATTATAGCTTGACTTCTCCCCCTGCCTAGTCTTGCATCCTTCTCTGTCCTCCTGCAGGTTTTAATCCCACCCTGCTAGGTACTCCCCAATCAACATCCCAGATGCTAAACTGTCTCAGGGTGCTTCCTAGGGAACCCAACTTTACTTACTCTTTTTGTGGTTGGTGACATTTGGGAGGGTTCTGGGATATGTTGTTACAGTCAATGCTTTTACTGACCTTGTTTCTGTTGCCTGCTGCACAGATGCGCATGTTTCTCTAGGATGGATGTCTAACAGTCGAGTTGCTCAGTCAGAGGCTATGCCTATCTCTATTCTTCTTGGACAGTGACAAATTGTTTTCTAAAGTAGTTGAACTTATTAATACCCCCATTTATAGTATGGAAATGTTTTTTGATACCCCGTATCCTCACAGATCTTGATATTTCAAGATTTAAATTCTTTTGTCAAACTGATGGGTCTAAATATTCTTTCATTGTAGTCTGAGGTTGAGTATCTCTATACGTATTGGCCATTTGATTTTCCCCTTCCATGAGATGTCTGTCATCCCTTTGTCCATTTTTCTATTGTATTTATCATATTGATTTTTAAGGGTCCTCTATATATTCTGGATTCTGATCCTTTATTCATCATGTATGTTGCAAGTATTTTCTGTCAATGTTATTTTTTTATTTTTATTTTTTAGTTTGTGATGGTGCCTTCGGTAAACAATTTTAGTGTTGCCTAATTTATGAGTCTTTTCCTTTGTGGTTTATGCTTTTGTGAGATCTTTTAAAGAAATCTTCCCCTATTCAGAAGTCATAAAGACATTTTTATATTAACTTCTAAAAGCTTTATAGCTTTGCTCTTCACATTTTGTTTTAGTCAATAGGGAAATTTATTTTTGTGTGTGATATGATATAGGGGTCTACTTATATTATTTTTCTGTATTAGTAGCTAATTGTTCTAATATTACTAACCAAAGAGCCTTGAAGTAAAGACACTTCTGTCACACATCAAGTCCTTCTTTGTCTTCTCCTTCTCCTCCTCCTCCTTCTTCTTCTCCTTCTTCTCCTTCTCCTTCTTTTTCTTTTTCTTAGAGGCTTAAAACAACATTTATTTTCGTCCAGTTTATGTGGGTCAGGAATCTGAGCAAAAATTAGTTGGGCCTCATTTTCTGGGTTCTTAATCATTGCATCCCTGTTCTCTTTGCACTGCCCTTCCTTTCCCCTTTTCCTGTCCCTGCTTTCCTTTTCTCCTTTTCTCCTATTTATTGCTTCTTAACTAATCACTCCATTCTTGCCTTTTCTCATCTTATTCACAATATGAATTTGAAATCACATAATGATATTTACTTCATAAGTTTAGGAGTTATAGTATCTGATCATGTGGAGCCTGAGGATTTACATGAATTATTTACAAATTATAAATATCATAGGTATAGTCACACTTTGTCACCTCTTGATCTATGTATTAGGAACTAGTTTAAATTTTTGTATAAGGTTGTGAGGCTCCTCATCCCCGCTGTATAGTCACTGGAAAGAAAAGAAATGCTTCTTTATTTGACTTTTGTCTCAGTGGTTGGGAACAAAATTTACACATTTGGCAAACACCTTCCTGTAAAGTGAAATCACTTGTGTTTAGCAAAGAGTAGATTGAAATGGGCAAGAATATCTGGCAAACCAGCTTCAATTTTACATAAGCTATGACTTGCCAACACCTTTAACATGTAAGTACTCTCCTTTTCTTTAGTAGGTTTAGTTATGCGAGTGTCTCATCTATCAAAATGCTACTTTTTTTTTCTTCATGAGCACTGAGTATACTGAACTGTGAAGTTAAACCTCATTTCCTCATTTGAAATTGCTATACTTCCTCCTCTGGACTGTCCAGTGATGAGATACTGGGAGAAGAGTCAGGATGAATAAGCAAAAGGGTTATTGAATAGTCCTTTCATTTTTTAATTTTTATTATATATTTTTTCCATTACCATTTGTCCCCCTTATACCTTCTTCAAGGATGTATCTAAAACATGAGCAGCTAAGCAGGGGAAGAAGGGCTGATGGGTTAATGGTATGTGGTGAGACATTGGTCTCTGGATTTCCAGCAATGCTCAATTGTCTAATTCAAATGTCCTTGAGGTGAGAACCATATACATAGCTACAGGATTATTTAAACTTCAGTTATTTCTCCCTAACAGACCCATGAGAGCATTCTCTTTATTATTT